CCACTGACGTTATATTTAGAATTGCGTCTGACGTCACTTCTTCAGCTTCCAGTAGTGTACCAACATCTGTAAGCAGTTGACTGAAGTCTGGGCTTACGCAGAGACTGAGATCCGGCTGGGCCCAGAGAGGTGTATCCTCTTTTGAATTGCATTTCCGTGTTGCTGTACCTGGAAAAGAATTAAATCAATATTGGACGAAATTGCGAATCAATTCTATCCAAGGTGTTTTTAGAATATTAACAGAGTTGTTCTTATACTTGATATATGCTCGAATTAAGTTGTTGGACAAATCGGTATCAGTATTGTTACTAAATAACCATAACAAAAAATACCCTACCTTGTTCTTAAGAACAGAAAAAACATGCTTATATGTTTTTAAATGTAGATTGAATTTAACTATAATTTAGATAGTAACGGTTAAAATTTGTTTAATCATCATTATCATCATCATCATCAATAGTGTTGTTGTTGTTGTTGTAAAGTTGGTATAATTGTCGATAAACTTATTCTCCTTGTCATTGTATCGAGAAAAATCGGTATTGGGAAATAATGAGAAGGTCGAATTAAATTTTAAAAAAAAACATATCTTACCATTGGCAAAGGGGCATGGCTCTGTGTCTGTGTGACCACTTTTTGTTGCTTTCCAAATAATTTTGCTGCCATTATATTTGTCTACTTCAGGGGAACAAAATGTACCGTCTACATGAAAGAAGAAAAGAGCAATTTATTATGAAAACATCGTTTTATGTAAGATTGAATCCAACTCGGTATGAACTATGATGTAAACAATCAGTCATAAACCTTCTCTTTAATTTCCCTACTCTGGCTCGAATGGAGAAGAAATTAAACTAAGAAATTAATTAAGAAATTAATAGGTATAATGTTAGCTTATTTGAATATTTTTTTATTAACTTGAAAAGGCTTGTTTTACGGAGAAGAATATTTTTAAGATTTAGTCTTCCGTTCTAATTTTGTTCTTGAATATGAAATGTTTGATTTTTTTATATGTATACATGTTTATGTAAATGTATATACTCAGGAAATAAGTATGTTTAAACTTAATCTTTTCTGTGTGACATGTGAAAAAGCAAGGCGACTTGAAGGTACATAATGATCGAGAGGTCAATATGGAACACGAGAACTAGAGAGTTCAAAAGCTGGTGACATTTCAATAACTACGCCATTTCACATGTAGGCGGGGTAAATTCAAAGTTTTTACCGTTTATAGTCTGGCATGATTCGCCCCATATATCAGGTGGACACTCGCAAACACCAATGTTTTCAGATGAAACAACACATTTCCCACCATTTTCACAAGTTACTGTTGAACATGGTTTTTCATCAGTGCAATTTTTACCCGTATAATTTTCTAAACACGTGCAGCTATAAGCATTTTTGTCGTCAATTTTCCGCGAGCACGTGCCGTTGTTGTCACATGGATTTTCAAAGCACGGGTTTCTGACGCACTTAAACGCCTGTTGTAGAGTCGAACATTTGTTTTCAGAATCTAGGCACGCGTCCTTCTCACATGTATCGCCTTCGTTACATTTGAAGCATGGGTAATCAGGAACTTGCAAAGATAAAAATTAAAATCACGTTTTACATCATTTAACAAACTGTTTCAACATTTGACAACTGATTTGTCGACCATTCCAATTTTGACACATATTTTAAGCACCATATATATTAGGCATTAGCAATTAAGTGTGATTTAGAAAAATAGTTCCTAAAAAGGGCAAGCAAGGGAGTTAACTGTATCACACTACAATGCATATAGCCAATCAAGCGTGAAGAAAATAATTACTTTGGGGTAATTTATATCAGCTTTGATACATATATCAATTGCATTCAATTTGATTGATACATTTAAATACGAAATATATCTAATTGAGTGACAAGTGTTTCTTTCCTATTCTCCCCTTTGCTATTGTTCTTGTTTTGTTTTGTTTTTTACTTCCATTAGTAATGTACCTCACAATTCCAACCCCTCTTTCGCCCCAAAACTTTTGGTTACCTAGGACACATTCGGCTTTTTAAAAAATACCAGTGCCACGCCCTGTGGACGGAGAGGCGAATGTTAACAGCTACGCACACACACTGCAGGTTTGACATTGCCCCACTATTTTGGTGCCAAAAACAACCGCAGACCTTTCCACATACTTCCTTGTGGATTGAAGCCGACGTTACATTTATTTTGTGCATAAATTACTTGTTTAATACTGATATGAGCCACGTCACGACAAAACCAACATAATAGGTTTGCGACCAACATGGATCCAGACCAGCCTGCGCATCCGCGCAGTCTGTTAAGGATTCATGTTGTTCGCTTACCAACTCTACAACAAGTAGAGAAACTGATAGCGAACAGCATGGATCCTGATCAGACTGTGTGGATGCGCAGGCTGGTCTGGATCCATGCAGGTCGCAAACACACTATGTTGGTTTTGTCGTGACGCGTCTCATTAATTTCTCTTGTAAAAGTACTTACATCTGTATGTGATGTTGAATGAAGGAACATCCTCATTATTATAATGGCTGTACTTGATATACTCGGAATTCATTACATATTGATGTATTTTAAAAGTTTCTGTAAAGCTGATTTGGTTACTCCGACAGACTGTCGTGGGTGATCCAACGTACTCCATAACCTGTTCGAAAAAAGAGGCTGTTTGAAATGTCTTTTACTTAAAGAAGTCATGTAAAATCCCTCTTGTGAAAAGTGTTTTCGAGGGTTTAAACCTTTATCCTGTTACAAATTAACATTGGACATCCGTGCCCGAGTGGTTTCAAACCTGTCTCTCAATTCTGTTCGAGTCGCACCAGCACTTTCAAGTACCCCTAAGAAACGAACGTTAGTGCACAGAGGGGCACTTGTGGTTTTTCTCATATGCGCTGATTCGATGTAAAGCAAACCCATTAACAAAGTAGAAGATCTTGAAAGAAAATGCATCAATTGATTTTGTCAAATCTTGTTAAAATTCTTATTAAGAGTATATAATCTTACTTAAGATGTATACATGGATTTAACAACAGCAGGAAGTTGCATGGGTTTAACGTAGCTCACAAACTCTCAACTCAATACAAAAAATATGCTCTTATATTTTTGTTATTAAAAACGCAAACTGCTTTCATTTCTAGTTCTATACCTCAATTCTGTCAGACTGGTCACATTTTGCATTGTTGCTGTTTTCAGTTGTAAAGTTGTGGAACGTAAGTTCAAGCACCACGGGGCTTGTTATATTGACGAGTGCCGGGTTGACAATTGTCCATGAATACACAGGTTTTACAAGCTGACACGTTGGGTTGATGTTGAAAGAAAGGGTTCCATTCCAAACGTCGTCGGAGTCTGTATTTGTCGTGGTGCACTGACCTTGGTCTAGCAATGGGTCTTCTGAAGAGAAAGAAGACGTTGAATATTGACAAAATATTCTGCATTAAACTTGTCCACAGGGTAGAGTTAAAATAGTTTATACAATATCTTCAGGAATTTCAATTATCTAACCAACGGCGTGCAATTTTACATTGCTTTTTACAAAGTCCGGTATTTTTTCCGCAAAAGATTAACTGTTAAATTAACTGTTCACTTTAATGCATTACATGGGAGAAAATTAAAATGTGTAAATGGAAATGAGGAAAATAAATGACATGTGTTGCATTTGTTCCCTTAAAGATTGACGTGACGTTAAAGCTGCATGCTTCAATATGAGCCAAAATATTTCAAGAAGATCAAACTAAAAATCTACTAAGATTTTATTTGATTCTAGTACGTTAAATATATAAATTCTTACCTTTGGCCAATATTGACTGTAAAATCTGTGATAATAGTGCTAAAGTTGTGAGTATTTTCATCTTATCTGAAAGAGCAGGTTTAAAATATACAATCATCAAATATTTGAAATAATACGCTACGTTTGTTTCTTTATATAAATGACTGTTTGATGATTTGCTCATTTTGTTAGTCACATTTTTTGGTTGCATTGCAAAACTGGGAATGCGGTAAATATGTCATTTATATTAATATTTTTTTGGTCAAATGAATCGCTTCTTTAACAAAATTTGAAAATATCGATTTAAACGGTTTTCAACTTAACGAATTTTTTACAACCGCAAAGGGCGTACACTGCAGCGCATTGTTAGACAATTTACCTGTAAATTGATGCATTTTGAAATACAGATTAACATTTTTGAGTGTGCTTGGTTTTAACCTTAGACATGATGAGATTAGATGAGTCGACACATTGATGTAAATGGGATTCGAAAATGTTGATGAAGTTTAGGAGAAATTGTCTGAAAACATTAAGTTTCACTTTGTTGTTATTGTTTTGTTGTTGTTTGTTGCTGTTATTTTTGCAACATAAATTTTGCATAACGTAAGCTATAAGATATATTGATATTATTCTGAGATTCATTGATGCAAATTTATTATATTTATTATACACATGTACATGTACATGTATTCGTATACATACATTTTATAAATTAATTTATATCTGTTCTGATGATTGTCGTCCTTTTGAAGAATCAATTTGGCACTTCTTTTTTTGTTTAAATGACTAAAATATAAAAAAGAGGAAATAAAAGAGGAAAATCGTTTAAGTTGCGTCCCCTCGGGAGCATTGAAAACAAAGATATGAAGTCGAAAATTACTTAGACTTCGATAATAATCGGATCGGTTTATGAAATATGAAAATAAGATATATTTGAGCCGTGTCACGACAAAACCAACATAATAGGTTTGCGACTAGCATGGATCCAGACCAGCCTGCGCATCCGTTCGCTGTCAGTGTCTAGTCTTGTTATACAGTTTGTCAGCGAACAGCATGGATCCTGAACAGACTGCGCGGATGCGCAGGCTGGTCTGGATCCATGCTGGTCGCAAACCCATTATGTTGGTTTTGTCGTGACGCGGCTCAAATATTTTACGCCATCACATCACCAGCATCGGCTTCATTAAAAAAAATAGAAATAAATAATATTCACCAAGCATATCAAAACAAAGATGAAGTACACAACAACTGTTATTTCTATTTCACGAGTTTACGGTTTTAACTTCACGAATTCACGATTCCTTCTTCTTCATGAAATCACGTTTTTACAAATTTCAGCTTTATTACTTCACGGCTTCAACTTCATGAGTTCACAATTTTTAGTGTAATCGTTATAGAGGAATTCACGAAGTTTTGAATGTCCCGACCGGTCTTTCGTATTTTACAATTGCCATTAACAGCGATCGCCAATATGAGTGATTGATGAAAATTGCAGAATCTATTGTTAATTAGAGAAAAATGATATAGTGTAATCATCTTCTTTTGAAGGCTAAATCATACAGATGCGGTTTTGATGGGGCACTTTAATTGCTCTGTTTTGTAAATGTCCGTGCTAAGATTAAATCATAAATTGATAAAAAATACGGAGTCCTTTTGTAGACACTATGAAGAAACGAGATGCCTGATAAAAATGTGTACCTGTCAACCGATACCTGCTTACATTGATAAGTTTTAAAGGACGTGAAAATGATTTATAAATAGATACAATCCCTTTTATATTTGCATATAACACTGTCATTTCTATTCATATCAGCATTTTAAATTCTTAATATCATATTAATTAAGTCTTTATAGACGTACGAAATGTGAATGGAATGTCTAGGCTGGGATGAAAGGAAAATAACTGTGTAATTTTTAATGTTTAATTTAGCTGACATCTTACCGAGTCTAATGGTGGATGTACCGCCATGAAGGATTGCGGTCATTAGGTCGACAAATTAATTATCAATTAGAAAATGTCCCGTCTGTCTGGTAACGTTTGTTGGTGGGAGGCGATAATCCATTCATGCCATCCGTCCGTCCATTCATTCGTTCTTTCATTCGTTCCAACGGTTTATGTGGCTTCTTTTCTTTTTTAACTAAGATTATGGACAGAATAAAGGTTGAAAAAACCATTCGATTTTTCCATGATTAATCCTTCAATTCGTTTGTCTGTCCGTGCGTTCGTTCGTTCGTCTCTTAATTAATTAATCAATTACTTCATTCGTTTATTCATGTTATTCATCTACCTTTTTTTCTTTCATTAAAGTATCTCTTCATTCAATTTGTTAATATGATAGGTATAACTTCTTTTTTAATTTTTCCCTCTTTTTCAGTTAAGAAAAATCATTGACAGTTCCATTAATATCCTTAACTGAATTATTAACTTGTTATAAATTGTTTCATTTATGTGGAAGGATAATTCTAGTACTCCAACACGAGAAAGAGAAGCATCTCCGAACAAAAATGTATGGACAAAGACGTTTTGAGCGATTCAATGTGATTCGACGTGATTCGACGCACATTTGCGAGAAGACGATAATGACTGTTAAAGTGATATTCGCCTGTTTTAGTCTCTATTTGATAATGAGGACATATTTCTGATCGTCAATAAATATATAATGGATAATGGGATATTTGCCTGCATGATTATTGAAAATAGCATACATGTAGTTCAAACTGCGATTTATCTTGAACATTGCTACCTACATAGCAAATCATTTCATAGTTATTTCCTGTATATGTGCCTGAAAAGTAGTATTTGCTTCCACAACTCTTAGTTTATACACATTTATTTTAGTTCGCTGTGTTGGAAGCTATAAATTTATTGAAACGCTTTCGAATCCTTTCTTGGAACCAACCTGTACTAAGCAATAATTGTAAAGTGTCTTGCGCAAGGAAACAACGTCTTTCCCCTGACTAGGTTCGAACACAACTAAACGGTTCCATAGCTCTAGGCGTTAGTGTTATCTAATTGTCTCTTCTCTGTTCTGTTAGTTCTTTTTCTATGCTCGACTATTAAAATGTATTTAAATATTGATTTACGATATCAGTATTTTAAGTGCTTTACCACAAAACCTTAGACAGAGTTGAATGTTATTTTTCTACGTCTCTATAGATATATATCCGATGTGATTTACACTTTGTAAAATGAGTTAATGATATTAAAAATGTACCAACTGTCAGCTGCCATGTATTACTTTTGTTGTAATTGATCAATTATGGAGATTGACTTAAAATAAGCCTCTAGTGTTTCCGTCAACATTATTACGTGTATTACGATATATGTATGTTTGTTAAAATGTTTGTTTGTTGTAGTTTAATAATAATATATAATACATTCAATACATATTTTTAAATTAAACATTTACGAGGTGTCAAAGCTGTATTGCACTGTGCACATTTCATGGGGCAATCACTAGATATAATCCCATCTAAGTGTTACGCTAAAGAACGCGTACACCTACGGGTACTGTCACCTATTTATTTCTCATTTTTATATCTTATCCAATTCATATCTGATCAAGTTCATTTTTATTCTGAATTTAGTTTTTAATATCTGAATTTAGAATTTTAATGTTCCAATTTCGTTTTTATTTACATGAATAAATGTTATTTTCTATATTCAATGTTTAATCTTACTGTTGATGTTTCGATTTCGATGTAATCTTGTAATCGTTTTTGTATATTCTATTTCTTATAACATCCAAAGAATTTATGATAACGCATATAAGAACAATACAGTCATTTTTTTCGATAAATGATCTTCCGTACTTTACATTATGTGCAAGCGTTAATTTGAATTGTTTTATAAATGTATATGAAAAAAATTGAAACTAGAAAAATAGTGTGTTCCGAATGTGTTCATGTCACGACAAATTAGTTAGTTTACAGTAAATAAGTTTAACTTTTATTAGTAGTATAGAAATATATTTGTGAAACTTGTAAAAACAATATGTGACAATGAAAAAAGAATATCATATTTGCCATGCAAGTTATATGTGAATCGTCATATAAATTTTAATGATTTCAGTAGTTTTGATTGTTTAATAGTAAAATAAAACTCGCTTTCTTGAGATTATTGTCTTTTTATTCAGAAGTACCGCAGCAGAGTGTCCTAATAAATGAATTTTCTATAGGAATTTTATTGAGCAGTTCGTATGAATAACACTTTCACGAAATATCAGTTAAAGAATTGAGGTGAAAAAATATGCAGATTGTTTTTAAGCATCAATGATTTGCGCGTTTTATTTCCAAGTATTGTTCATATTAAAAAAGAAGATGTTCTTTTTTGATGAGGCATTAAAACAAACGGAAACGTAATATTTACGGCAGAAATAAAAAACAGCCAGAACCAAAATATGTAAATATTGTACAAGTTGAATTTTATTTAGAAAAAACAGACACAGTTATAGTATAAACGTGTCTTTTTACAAGCACATCAAATGATTCTCAAGGTCAGATACTAGTTATATTTAGCATACTTGTAATATACGATTTTTGAAATCAGTGCCAAACGATAAAATGCATGTTATATAAAGTTCATAATATTTTACACGGGTTTTATTTCGTTTTATTTATTTCAGTTTTAATATTTTCAACTTGCAACATATTAAAAATTTAAAGATAAATGCTCACCGTTATAATTTGACCTTAAATAATTCCAAATTAAAGTATCCCTCTTCTTTCTTGTTTCTAATTAATTTGTTTTTTGTAGGCTCGGATATAAATATATAACTGTTTCGTATATAATAACTATTCAATCTATATTTCAAGTTTTATTTCTATTTTCACTTTGTTCTATTGAAGCGTTCAGTATGACCATTCACTTAAGGTTACGTACGAAATGTTTATGTATACTTTGTAGTGGATAGGTGCGCGCATCCCACTTTATCAGGACTTTCCTCCGTGAATTATTTCGTCGTTAAAACAATGACAGGGTACTTAGTAAATTACTGAAACAATTTGTTTATGTCTTATACTGGTTACACTTTCATTTGAAGCTGATAAGCTGAGATTTTTGGGTATAAAAGGAAAAAGGACCAAAATAGTTTAATCTAGACTTTATGGTAGTATGGGAAAGATATGCGTGCAATTCAACCACATCAGTCAAAAGTTTTATGTACCGAATATTTTTAAATGATAGAAAGATTACTTTGAATAACCAATTATTACTTTAAATGCATGTAGCTAAACTAGGTAGATATATATATGAATATAAAAAACGGGATTTTATTCAATTCTTTTTACATGTATATCAATTTTTATCTGTTTAGCGTGGTTTTATGCTTAATGGCGCATTACTAAAATAATTATTGTTATTTGAATTATTTATCATAATCTAAGACCAAGATAATTAACAGAATTACCGAAGGGCTCCTAGATAGATGATATGTCAATATTGTCACAATAGGCATAGAGAGGAGTAAAGCCGTTTTGATTTCATCTGGTGATAATAAAGAGAAAAATAATTTGATCTCACATGTTTATTTATATTACAAGGCACTTTATTTTTATTATGTTTTTGGTTTTTGTTTTGATTCTGTTTGTTTTGTTTTTGTTTGTTTGTCAAGTTGTGGACACCAGTTACACAACAAAGTATCCTCTGCGCACAACAAAATAACTCGTGCTTACGACTTAACGATCTCGTGTGCATACACGACTTAGTAATTCGTGCAAATGACATAATATCTAGTATCTCGGAAGATATAAATAAATACATTCACAAGTGCTGTTTGGCAGCTGTAAAAAGTTTCCCGTTCTTTATACCGATGTTGTAATATTTATTTTCCTGATTCCTTGGTATAATTATTGCTCCGCGCCCACAGGCGCGGAGCTATTTGTGTTTACTTTTTTTTTGTCCATGGGCCCGGATTTGAGCAATAAATCCTTTCGATTAACAGCTAAAAGTAAATCCGCATTCATGAACTCCTTTCGATTTCTATATTGGTTTCCCCGCCGATGATTCGCAGCATGTCATATTAATGAATGAGAACCGGAAAGCAGTTCTGCTGTTACATAAATTCGAAAGCTATAAATAGCTATAAATGTTATACATTTGTTATTTCCCTTTTTTAGTAGTACATGCAATTATAATTTGTTATATTTTGAAATACATTTACACACAGCATATCAAGTATACTATTAGTGATTGAATGCGGGGGTCCGTACTCGACAGCGAAAGCTGCATTCTGTAGCCTTGCGAGCGGATGGACCCTCCTTATGGTTATTCGCTTTGGCAGCCAAGTTTGTTTACACAATGTTTGAGCAAAGTGAGAGTAGGCCAAACATTCATATTATATCAACTTAGCTCACATTGTTATATGATGAGCTATTTGCAAGTACTTCCAATTCTATGTTTTAAAGACTTTTTTAAACAAAAATAAAAATGATAACAATATGAATTTAACCTTGAATGGGCTACATTTCTGAAGACCAAAAACATTCTGTTGCAAATCTTTATGCACATTTCATGAATGGCAAAATCCTGTTTAAAGTCTTTTTTAGTGCAAACAAATGGTACTTTTTGCAGAAAATACAAACAAAAACTTTTAAAAACATAAATCTTAAGAAAGTAGTTTATCTGACCTTGAAAAAACATGGCCTCCATGCCATGTGTAAAAAAGTAGTACCATGAAAATAAACATCATTTACCTATTTCTTGTGTACATGACAAACAGACACACTTCACTGTTACACATAAAAAGGTTAGATTTTAAAGTTTGATTGTGTTTTCATTTTAATTGTAGTTCATAAGGCTATAAATGATGATTGTTTTCTTGCACTATTTTTTTACAAATAATAATGGAGGCCATGTGCTTAGAAGGACATGAGATATGATTTATTTGGAGTTAAGTTTTGAAAGATTTTTGTATTTGCTGCAAAAAATAGCTTTTGTTGGCACTAAAACAGACTTTTAAAAGGATTTTGCAATACATGAAATGTGCATAAAACTTTGCAACAGAATGTTTTTGGTCTTCAGAAATGTAGCACATTCAAGGTAAATGTTCTTATTGTTATCATTTTTATTTTTGTTCATAATTGTCCTTAAAATATAAACCTGGAAGTGTATTTTCAAATGGTTCATCATTTTACAATAAGAGCTTTGTTGTTATATGAATTTTGGCCTACTTTCACTTTGGACAGACTTTAGTTAAAACAAACATGACTGACAAAGCGGAATCACCTTAAGCATAGGCTATAAATAGATATCACGACAACAACAGAAACATTGATCTGCAGTTTGAACATGAAGTGTAATGTTTTTTATGAATGGTTTTAAAGCAATTCAACATAAAATATATATTGATCTCCCTGAAAATTAATTAACAATAGTTTTTTTATACATGTATATTACCAATGTCAAATAGCTTTCAAATCGTTGTCTCGCACGAATATGATATAAGTGAATTTCCTCATACCTACCTTAAATTCAGGTAACAGTCTTCTATTATATTGATAAATACTGTATCACCATGTAACGCGTGTATAACAAACAAAAAAATCCTGAATTTGGTCTTTTGGAAATTCATCCCATTTTTTCATTCCAGAGTATGTTCTACTTTCAGTATTGAAAGAAACCATTTTTTTAATTTGACATGAAAAATATATATGTAATATTACTATATCATAATATTAGTCCCTTTTGTTACTATTTGTATATTTGTTACAATTATAACAGATTTTGATATTTCTATCATCTATCTTCTGTTACTGAAACAGAACACAGTACAGTCATGTCACATAACATTTACAAGTCTTGTAAGTCTTGTTTGTATTCAATAGAATTACTTTCCTTACCAGGTAGGCATCACTGAAAGCATTTTTTATATTAAATATTTTCCCCTCTTTTTAACGATTGACAGTTATTGAAAGTGCATAATATAAGTATAATTATGCAAAAAATGGTTTACAAAACATTCGGAAAAAATCTACAATAGTACTTAATCTGAATATAACATGACCTGTGCGTAGGAATAATTTGGTAAGGTATCTGTAATGAGCACATTTTTTTGCGCGGAGCTTCTCAATTGCTGCACTGCAGCAACATTTGTACTTGTTGATAATTAGATATCGCCCGGTGCAAGGGTGCGTGCGAAGTCATGCATTTTACTTTTTCCCCTTTGACTTTTTTGCAGACGATCTTAACGTAATACAGGCATTTCATTCAACATACTCTCTGGGGTTTTTTTTGTATTAAAGTTTGAAATATACACTGATATTAGCATTTCCTGAAACAAAATAGCATCGTTTCAAATAGTTGGCGAGTTTTGTTGATATTTTATCTTTTTTTCAAAAGTTATAGAATATTCTAGTCTGACCTCGGATTGTACCAACCTGTCTCGATAAACTGTTAACATTGTCTCATAAGTTCATGGTTACAGGCGCGCGCTCTAAATCGTGTTCTGAAAATAACCGATACTACCCATTTTTCTATTAATAACCTATCTTTATAAATCCTCATATTTATAAGTGTCAAAGTGTACACGAATGAACGTCTATAATCTTTCTCCACCAATAATTTAAGCTTGAAAGTCACCATATGACCATTGCATTGTCGACATAACTTTAAAAAAAAAAAACAAACAAAAAACAAAAAAAAACTCAGTGATTTCACAGTTTATTTCCAGTAACGCTGGAATGTGAAAATAACGCACGATTCGTGTAAATAGTCAAGGGGGAAAGTGATCTTGAAAAGTAAGCAATTTCGTGGAAATATTCTTGATCAGAGATAAAGTATAATGTCTTCGCAGCCGTATGCGTCTATTCCTTTTTATCAGTTTGGTTAAATAAAGATATATATATATATATATATATATATATATATATATATATATATATATATATATATATATATATATATATATATATAAAACAAAAAACACAGTCCATGAGTTAACTTATTTAATTATTTGCCAACCAGTTTCTCTTATGATCATCAGGGCAAATGTGACGTCGTTTTATTTATATGTGACTTTTTTCCGGCACTTGTTTCATTTTTTGTATATATATATATATATATTATATATATATATATATATATATATATATATATATTATATATATATATATATTGACCAGTTTACTTGCCGCGTTTGAAATCCTGCCAGGGATCCACCATTTATTGCACAATTCTGCGTTATGTTTGTACGAATCGTGCGTTATTTTCACTTTCCAGCGTTACTGAATATACGGCGGATGTGTATTAGATTCTTTGAAGAACAAAAAGTTAAAGAATCTGAACTGATTTTTTAAAGTAAGAGCATGGTTTTCTTCAATATCGACTTTGTTAAAATGCATTCCTTGTTACAGGTTTGTTTGTTTGGGTTTACGGCCGACAACACAATTTAAGTCATATGGCGCCGAAACAGGAAAGCTGATTTTAGCTAACCTCGGGTATTACAATCTTAAGCAACACCAGGTTTCAAAACCATCACATCTGCTGGAGCTAAGAGATGCATAGACTCCAGTAATGCGAACCAATTAAGCTTGGCCTCTTATGATCACGCAGGGCTTAAACGGCAACTAAAACTCTTAAACGCAACCTCTCAGCTATAAGGTTAACAGGTAAAGGTACTGCAGACTGTAAAGTTAAATGTACTTTACCCCCCCCCCACCGTTTTAATAGTGTCAGCTAGAGCATTTCAGACGACATATTCTTCCTTGCTCACGGTGGTATGTAGATATTCTACTTTCACCGTAATCCTATGTCATTTATCGCATTAATTTATATAATGAAGAAGTTTACGGTACATGTATATTGTTTTTCAGCATCTAAAGAATCTACACATGACCTTAACGGAAATGTAACATTACCGAGACTAAAATGTTGTCAAATATGTGTCTTTCCCTGTCCATTTAAAATGTTAAATCATTTCAGGCAGTACACGCTATAGATGTGCGCGTAGATAAAAGGCTGCAGAGCACATTATTATAAACTATGAGAGGTTGAAAACGATGCTATAATTTTATAGACGTGTAGCTCAAAAAAGACGTACCAAATGGCTGTGTAATTGCATAGAGTTACATTTGTGATGTTAATAAGCCGGAAACGTCTGGTGATAAGAATGGTAATTGCATCGGAGGGTGGGAGACTGCCCGTAAGCAATCTCTTCCGTGCTCAACAAAACTAAGAATGATTGGCATCAGGTGCACTGTTGGAGACTGTTTGGTGTTTGTAATGTGTTCATTGTATGCAGAATTACGGCACTTTGCATTTTGTGTTGTTGTTGTTTTTTTTTTGTCCCACAACCAATTTTGCGACAAATTCCTGACACTTATCATTTATCATCTGTAAGAAAGATGGGCGTGGTAAACCGGTGCCAGGAGGTTGACGGTTGCTTGCAATTAGCAATACCGTCCATGGAGGTTCATTTAACCTATCCTGGTACATTTCAAATTTTGCCGTTTCAGACGTTTTTTAGATTCTATTTTTCTCCATTTTTCCATATTTATGAGAGAGTAAATATCTCCAAATGTATAAATGTACGTGTGATGCGTTTGCCCTGCATCTATATTAAAATTATACAATGGGTGCTTTTATTGAGCAGGTTTGGCACAAGAAAATTTCCTGCCAAGTGTTAGTCTCTATACTGCTTGGATAGACCGGTAAGTCATTAACATTATCACCATCCCCATAATCATCGGCTTCATCATTGTCATTAGTACACCGGATCTATATATTTTACCACTCTTTCCTTGTATGCTTCTATTTCTTAAATGCAAGTTACAGAATACTTTACAACATTGCAGAACGGAAAACGAAGTAACATAGGTATTCTTTACAATTTCAAGAAGTTTCACTTGCATTTTGCTTTGTATGTGTTTATTAACTTTTAATTTATTTTCCTCTTATCCATTATTTTCGCTTAAAGCAGCACGTCTCCAAATTCATTCTCGTTTTCGGGAAAATTTAGAAATGTGTTAAATGGTTAAACGTTTTAAAGTGAACATTTACATATTGCAACCACGTAGATTACCTTATACGAGTATAATGTTGACATATGCGAAAAAAGGCTCATACTGCGTTAGTCATGCAGTAGAGATACGGTGATAAATACTGCGGAAACAGTCGTTCATTACATGTTGTTACTAGAATCAAAAATATTTTTGCTTTTCTTGAATTTTTAGTACATTTTCCCAAAGGCTGATTTTCTTAAAAATTTTTAGCTCACATGGATGCATGTAGCTTAAAAGATAGCTTAAAATCCCCTCTTTATTTCCCCTTGTATATTAATAAGAAAGAATATTTCTTTTGTTTATAAATACACTTGTAAAATGTTTGATGATTTGGAAACATTAAGCTATCAACCATTTTCCTTACGCACGTAGCTATGCGATCCTTGTGGAGGTGATATGCTGGCTATGTGAACACATTGCAAATACTAAAGTAATTCCCCATTTTCAAGAATTTTCCTTTCAGAGGCACATTTTGCCTCAAGAAAGATATTTTCTTTCTTTAAAAAGGGCAAACTTGTGATTTTATATCTTTTAATCAAGGTTTTAGGCATGTTAGATTCTTATCTTTCAAACAAAGCAAAGTGGAATGTGAAATTATTTTTCTATAATTTTAAAATTAGCAAAAGACGGAAAAGGTAAATGACCAATGAATAAATTTCCGAAACTGATGATTACAATTATAATAAAATAAGAATTAATAAATAAATAAAAATGAAATGGGGGCTGAATGGCCCTCTAAGGGTCCAGTGAGGTTTTGAAATGAAGGGCATGGAAATAACATTTGAGCCGCGTCATGAAAAAACGAACGTAATGCGTTTGCGACCAGCATGGATCCAGACCAGCCTGCGCATCCGCGCAGTCTGATCAGCATCCATGCTGTTCGCTATCAGTTTCTCCACTTGTAATAGAGTTGGTAATCGAACAATATGGATCCTGATCAGACTGTGCGGATGCGCAGGCTGGTCTGGATCCATGCTGGTCGCAAACCCATTATGTTGGTTTTGTCGTGACGCGGCTCATATCATTTTCTCACTCCTTTTTTTTTTTTTTTTTTTTTGCAATATTATTATTTTTACGGTGCAAAATGGCAAAAAAGCGTTTAATAGTTTTTAACTCAAATTTAACTGATAATCGTACTTAAAATTTTGGTTTTCAATATAAATGAGTACATTCCTTAACTATCTTTTGCATTTTTTCAGTTGTTTAATGTAAGAATTTGAATTTCAAATTTATAGTTTCTGGGCATTTACAACACTGGCATATGGATAATTTGTACCAGGAATCATTATGGATTTTTTTAAGATTTGCATGCTTAAGCCGCTGCGTTAAAGCATCAATTTGAAGCTATTTACATGTATCAATCCTCAAATGGTATCCTGTCACATGTTCGAGTTTTACGTTTGGAAAGTACACCTGCATCTTCGTATGATATTTCCTCATTGCAGGTAGAGACATATCCCTCGCTATGCTGGTGCAGGAACAAAACTTCCACAGCTTTTAACAGTCTAAATCAGGAAGTGGTCGGACAGATGCACGAAAAATCTAAGATAATTTTCCCGCCGATCATGTGGTCACCCGCACCGCCTTGGAGTTAATGAGTGGAAAACAATGGACCAGAACATAATTATACAGCACTGAATGTCGTATATGTAGGTATACGATGTTTAGACAACGGCAGTATTGGTTCGTTAACTACCAATTTCCCTTTCTCTGCCGTCACAATATGTAAACCCCAGCAAACATGAGCCAATCAATGGGCATGCACTAGTTTTTGGAAGGAAATTTTTTCAAAAAAAAATTTCCTTTCTATAGTAACGGTCTGCCCATATCAAAAAGAAAGAACAACACCTAATTGACTTCTGTTTAAGCTCAATAGAAAACATGTAGTGAATGCGACCAAGAAAGTAGTGCAGCAGAACTATATGTATACTTTCAAACGTGGATGACTTGAAGAAAAAGATGATGTTCAAAAAAACTTGAAATGATGATATTCAATGTTAGCTTACATCAATGGAACATAATCTTAAACGTGTACGAAAAAAAAAACATCAGTATTATTACGCATTAGGCCAAAGAAAAATTGGTGTCCATGTACCTATGTACAATAAATTGAATATAAATAAGGTGTAATTTTGTAGCAGAGAGATGGTTAATTTTTTGTGCTTAATAAACAAGAGTTACACAATTGCTCTGTCAAACCGAGGAGAAGTATAATACAAACGATTTATTTATGAGTCTAATATATTTAGCAATTTAGAATTGAAGTGAGGCATAAATTAATAGCACACGCTGAATGTATACTGTCTCGATAATCTGCACTGAAGGTATATAATCCAATGTGATAGTACAATACTGTAGGATTCTTTAAAAGGCATACGTATTTTTGCAAAAAAAATAGGTTCTCGCAGAGGCATTATTAACATTAGACCTCAAAGCGCTTTGAGACCTCGGAAAATATTTTATATTACGTTACCAAGTATTAAAATAACCAAAGTGTAGTCGGATAACAAAGTAACTTTCAAAAGTAATATCTGGAAACTACTGAAGATATATGGCTAATAATATTGTGAAACTTCTAGCGTTTATAGACTAATAAGTTAGGCACACACGAAATTATCGGACCATCGGACAGAATAACGTTCGTGTTTTTCAGATTTCAAGACATAGATTTGCTGATGAATAACATCGCAAAGGTTTGTGGAAATGCTTTTATTTCTTTGTTCAAAATCGTTTTGTGTTTGCAGATGTTAATTTGTTAGACAAACGAAATTAGGTCAAGGATTGTTTACATTATTGAATTTACAGGTAAACTCGGCCCTACACCAACTCGGGACAAGTGACTTAGTCAACTCGGCCCTCTAAAAACCATATATTAGGATTCGGATATAGATTGTTTAGTTAATAACATATTGTTTGAAATTATCTTTAAGATACATAATTATCTGAAGAAGAGATATCAAGAGACAAGACAATAGACCTATATGTTAAATATTGATCAATAAATAGAGTTTTTAGATTGAATTTTTGTGACAATGAATTTTATTGTATTTAATACTGTTTGTTCTTTAATATGACAAATGCTTTTTTAATGATATTTTTTACAAAAAATCTGGAGTAGCAAAATATGCGTTTAAATTGTAAATTCTTTCTTTCTCTACAAATTCACATACAAATTGGTACTTTCATCAATAAAACTTTTCAATATCCTTGAGTACATGTAGATGTCTGTTACAGTTGTGTGAAAATGTTGAACCATGAAAGTTATGATGAAAACATATCAAAAGTAAGAAAAGTAATCATTACCAGTAATATATAATTATGGGCCGAGTTGACCCGTGCTGAGTTGGAATAGGGCCAAGCTGACTCGAGGGCCAAGTACGTTTTAGGGCCGAGCTGACCCTGATTCGAATTTACAGTGTTGACTGTTGTGTAGGATTTGCTTTTTCATATCTATTGTATACAGACTATCTATTAACATAGAAATAAGTTTATAATATATTTAACTGTTGTGTACAATTGATATTCGATCACTGTATCAAAATTTATCTCAGCCCTCCTGATTTTTATTTGGCGAGGTCCGAGGACCGACAGCCTTTCGCACAGACTGCAATTTGCAGTTGGTATAGTAATTTTTAGTGTTTGATGATCAGAAGATTTTTTCCTTCTGAAAATCATGGACTTGAATAATTCAAATCTGTGTGAAAGCGCAAAGAGAAAGAGACTGAAAATTAATTCATTTTTTCTATGGACAATATAGATGTTATAAATTTGTAATCAAACATGTGGGTCAATTTTCAGCAGTAGTTGAATCATGACAAAGTATTTTTAATAATTTTATTTAACTTCTGGCTACTTGAAAATTTCATGCTGGATGTTTGCTTACCATTACTTTTTGCATAAGAGCTCTATGATTGACATTAAAGTCCACGGGCCAATTCATTTCTGATATATCTATAATCTTTCCGATATCTTGTTATAATATAAATGACTGAACATCATTTTAGAATTATTAGGAAGAAATACATATGTTCATTCTTTGTAAAAATGTTAGAAGACTTGCAAGTTACCGACTTAATCCTTGCATTTATTTATTATTGAAAAAATGCTGACCAGCTAGTCTCAACAGTGTTATAGGCTAGAATTTTCAGTTTGCATTGGGGCCAAAATATATTGTTAGTCATGACGGCTTTCCTATTGCTGTCAAAAAACTTTAACCTTGTTCATAACTTTTTCAGATCTTGGTGTATTGTCTTCATACATGGCCACAACAACCCTTCAAATAGACCAGACTAAACTAAATTAACTTGACCACCATATTAACATTCAAGGTAAATTTTAAGGTAAATAAAGGTCTAAATTTTCTTGTTTTTTGCTATTAGTAGCTATAACTTTGTTATTTTTGAATGCTTGAACAACAATCTTTCAGGATAGGACCTGACTCACTCATAAATGTCCTTGAAGCTTTTGTGATCAGAAGTTGTACAGAATAATACAAACCCAGAACAATTTCATTTACTTGGTTTTGCAACTTCTGAGACAATGGATTTTAAAGATAGTTGTTTTCTTGAAATTTCAGGACAGTATAGTAGATAGTAAAGACATTTAATACATACTGTATATATACTATAATTACTTTAGTGTCCAACTTTATTTGTCATCCAATGAAAACGCTGTATCTCTTAAAAATTGTGTGCGTTAATTTTCATAGAAGTACAAAAGTCGATACTATATCGAATTACCTCCATAGTCGACTTCTATTTTTCATGGTACTTCATAAAACTGCATAGTGACGTAATAAAGTGAATGATAATGAGGCCAAATAAAGTTTGACGCTAACTATGTTAGTATTCATCCGTGCTGTTCTACAGAAATTAGAAACATTCTCCTGTCGCTATTGCTCCCGTCGAAGTTTCTTATTTCTGTAGAACAGCACGGATGAACACTAACATATACATAGTATACTATAAAAATCTTTATGCTTGGACAATTTTGAACAAATTGTCTCTTAAACAGTGTAAGAAATTAGGATTTGAATCGACTTGGCTGGTCGGACTATTAGATTGAAATATTTACTTGCCCAAAAGACATTTCACTAGCACGATTCATTTGTTCAAAACAGTTGTTTATATTGCCTCTGAAAATACAGTAGCCTGGTCAGGCTTTTTACTGTGAAAAGTTGGTAGCCCGAGGAGAAATTTAGTAGTCAGGCTCTCAGACTACTGCTAATTTCGAACATTAGCTGCTTAAATTATTGATTTGATATCAACTAACATAATAATTGGGATACTATATGTATATCTAATAATAATTATATTTTATTTTTCAGAAGTTCGGCCTACATGTCAGATTTATGAATGTGAACAGCAGGATATCGATTTTAAGGATGCTTTAGGGTCAATGACAATGAAATCATGAGAGATAAAGGCTAAAATGTGAGACTGTCAATCTGACTAACCTTGAAGTGAATAAATGGAAAAATGTTTCTTTCAATAGCATGGGCATTTAAGGAAGAGGTACATGATTATTTAGAAGTATTTGTATATGATATTTCTTAATTATAATTTTCTAATAGCTTTTTTTTCTTGACTTGTTTAAAGGCTGACACAGGACAGTTTATTTTAAGTCAGTGAGCTTCTGTCACTGGATAGACTATTGTCACAAAAAGCCAAATTTATAAAAAAGAATTAGTGTATTTAAATATCTTATACAAGAAATTAGGAACAAAATTAATAGCAAGAACAATTGTGACATGTAACATGTATTTAGGAATTTAGCTTTCCTTTCCTTTTCACCTCAGGACAATTCACATTAAAATATTGAATATTCACAGTAAGCAGTGTTAGCACTCCAACATATCTGACATATATGATCATCTTATCATCACTTAGCCAGAATCACTCACATTTATGAATTTGAATAATTTTGAAAAAATTGTTGCTAAGCAAATAGATAAAATACCCGGGGTGTCTGTGACTGATTGTTTTAGTTTATTGACTCCTTTCACTGCTGTAAGTTCAAGCTCAGCATTTTTTCATGTGAGAAAGCTCATTTATGGAACATTGATGGTATCCATGTGCCTGAAATCATACACATAGGTGCACCAAGGTCTTCCTCAACCAGAAAAGCTGGAAGGAAATTGTGCTGAAAATTGCCCCCCCCCCCCCCCCCCTTTTTTTTTTTTTTATATAAAAATAGTGGAATTTTAATTTAATTTTGCAATTAACTTTTTCTAAACAAATATTTCAGGAAACAGAGGCGCTTATATGATAGAACAGATAAAGCAGGAGCGATAAGGAAAGATACATGTAGATGCGTCTTCATGTCGGAAACACTAAAGAAATAGAAATATTGTGGTTTTATAAAACTTAAAAGAAATTGGAATACCAGGAGACTGCCTGCCCTTTGCAATGTTGGATAATGAGTTCTTAGATGTGATGTCGAAAGTCTCATGAATATAGTACCATGACTTAATCTAATTAGAAAAAGAAATGACATTGAGGAGAAAACTAGTCACCAGTCTTTCACCAATAACTAGAGATAACTTTCCAATATTAAAAATATCATAATATGTATAGAACTTTAATGAGCCACCAGTTTTTCACCAGGAAAATAAGATCACTTAACTATTTTTAGCTCACCTGTCACAAAGTGAGGGTGAGCTTTTTTGATCGCTTTTCGTCCGGCGTCCGTCCATAAAATTTTACTTTAAATGAAATCTCCTCATAAACCACTAAGCCAATTTCATCCAAACTTTACAGGAATGTTCCTTTGGTGGTCACCTTTAAATACTGTTCATAGAATTTAATTTCATGCAGAACGCTGGTTGCCATGGCAACCAAAAGAAAATGACATAAAGTATCTTCTTTTAAAGAACTCAAAGAGCTAGAGCTTAGACAAAGTATCTTCTTTTAAAGAACCCAAAGAGCTAGAGCTTAGACATTTGGCATGAAACATCTTCTAGTGAGTGTCTACCAAGTTTGTTCAAATAAAAGCCCTGGGGTCAAAATTGGCCCGGCCCCAAGGGGTCATTGATTTTCCCTATATGCATATAGTAAAAACTTAAAAATCTTCTTTTAAAGAACCAAAATAGCTAGAGTTTAGATATTAAGCATGAAACATCTTCTGGTAAGTGTCTACAAAGTTTGTTCAAATAAAAGCCCTGAGGTCAAAATTGGCCCCGCACCGGGGGTCATTGATTTTCCTTATATGTGTATAGCAAAAACTTAAAAATCTTCTTTGAAAAAACCCAAATAGCTAGAGTTTAGATATTAAGCATGAAACATCTTCTGGTAAGTGTGTACAAAGTTTGTTCAAATAAAAGCCCTGGGGTCAAAACTGGCCCCGCCCCAGGGGTTTCATTGTTTTTAACTATATGTGTATAGTAAAAACTTAAAAAATCTTCTTTTAAAAAACCCAATGAGCTAGAGCCTAGATGTTTAGCATGAAACATCTTCTTATGGTGTCTACCAAGTTTGGTCAAATTTAAAGCCCTTGGATAAAAATTGGCCATGCCGGGGTGGGTGGTGGTGCAGAGGTCTTTGTTTTACATTATATTTGTGTAGTAAAAAACTTAACATCATGAAACATCTTCTAATGGGTATCATAACAAGTTTGTTCAAATAAAAGCCTGGGGTTTAAACTGGCCCCTGCTCCAGTGGCCTATAATATGATACAACATGGCCCTCTTGTTGAAATATGTATGAACAAATCTTTATCAACTTCAAGGTTTTATTGAAGGAATTTGAATTACTTGGCACAAATGATTGTTATAATAAGACGATGAGTCATGTGCAACAACCAGACCCCTGCCTCCCAGGGTTAAGGTCGCACTTGCTCATTCAAGGTCAACATTGTCTATTTGAGAGTATATCTCATGTCTGGTCTATAACTTTCCTATCTCTAAAGGGATTTTGTAAATACTTGCCACAACAATTGCTCACAATAATGAGAAGATGTGTCATGCGCAACAACAGGTCACCTGCCTCCAAGGTCAAGGTCACACTTGGAGGCCAAATATTAACATAACCTGTTACAGGGTATATTCGTGGTCTGGTCCATAACTTTGTCATTTTTAAAGGGAAAATTTTGGGAAAATAATTTGGGCCCAAATGTTTGTTATAATAAAAAGGGAATGATGCGAATAAAGACCCTACCCCCCAGGGTAAGGTCAACACTTGCTCATAGGTTAATCTTTGTTTTTTTGGGGGTTTTATTCGGGTTTCCATTCTTTCCTTTTTTAAATTTTTTAAAAGGGTTTTTTTAAATACTTGCCCCCGTTTTTTTAACAACAATGAATGTTTGTGTATGGCAAAAATTCGGTCACCCCCCTTACAAGGTCAGGGTAAAAACGGGAGGTCTAAAAATACATGGGGTTAAAAAGGGTTTTAATTTTTTTGTTAATTTTTTTTTATAACCCCAAAAGGTTTTTGGGAAAACACTTGGAAACAAATTTATTCATTATAAAAAGACAAGTGTCATGGAAAACATGCTCCCTACCTCCAAGGTCAGGGTCACATTTCGAGGGTAAAAAATTAACATAGTTTTTAAAGGGTATATATTGCTGTTCTCAATGTAAACTTCTTCATAGTTCAAGGAATTTTGAAATAATGGCCCCAAAGGGTTCACAAAATAAGTCAATATGTCAAGTACACACCTGCACCTCTTCTTGCCTCTCAACGGTCAAGAGTCACACTTTTTTTTAGAAATGTAAAATAAAAGGGAAATAAAAAAAGCTGAGAGGAATTAATATGTTTAAAGATTTTTAGATGGCACCGTCCCCATAACTTCTTTCATAGGATGGAAGGGGGATTTTTGGAAAATACTGGCCCCAACAAAATAAAAATTTTTACAATTACAAATAAGATGATTAGTCATGCACAACACCTGCACGCAGCCTAACCTCCAAGGTCGGTAAAATTTAAAAGGTTTAAAGGGGGGTTTTTTTTCCAGGTTTTTTTGGGAACTTTAACCATAATTTGGGAAATTTCGCAATTTTTGTGAAAAAAATTGGGAAAAAAATACATGACTAAAAATTTTTTGCAGTGTTTTAATGTATGAAGAATCATCCCCTTAGGTTTGTTTCCCCCAAAATTTTTTTAAACCACATAAACATTTGGGGAAGTCCCCTTTTTTTTCAAAGTTTTTTTGGGAATTTTTTATTCAATATTATATTTTTTAAATTTTAAAAAAATTTGGGGAATTTTTCCTGTGGAAATTGGGAAATTAATATGTCCAATTTAAGGTTTTAAAAAATGACCAAAAAAATTTCCCTTTGCAAATTTTAAACATGATAAATTTTAAAAATTAAAGTATTTATTTTATTTTTTTTTAATAAATTTTTAATTTGTTGCTTTTGGGGGATTAGCTTTAAACCCAAAATTTTGGATAAAAACCCTTAGTTTCCCTGGTCAATCTTTTGAAATAGCACAATTTTTTGTTTCATATAAAACATCCCTGAGACAGGGGACGTTAGTAACTCTGTGGATCAAAAGTCAAATAATAAATTAAAACATGAGAGTATATTTCTATATACATGGCTGGATTTTCATAACATTTATCACAAATCATGAAATGTTCACTTATGTATACATCTTTCTCCCCAATCTGAAGCTTTAAGGTTCAGTTCTGAATGAAGGCAACAGACTCGATATGCTGCCAGTGGGCTTGTCTAATTATGTACATATTTTGATTACCCACTCAATATAAGCATTGTTCTTAACGCAGGCATTCAAGTCCTGTGGGCACATTTCTACTTTTGACTATATTTTGTTGTATAATATCAGTCTTGTATGTAAAAAATTCTTAAAAACAGCACCTCCTATACCACTGGCCGTTTGCATTAAAGCTTCTTTCATTCAGATTGTTATAACTTGTGTCACCTCAATATGTACCAATAATTTAAAGGGACTCACTCCATTGAGGTTTAAAAGCCTAAAACATAACATTTGAATTTCTACAGAAATGAGCCGGGGCACTTGATACAGAAATATTTGCACAGATAGTGAATAAATATACTTTGAAATAAATTGAAAATCGATTTTTTATGCTTTTCTCAGCCTGATCTGCGTGAAATGTGTTTAAACGCTTTTATTTTGGGTCATTTTTTTACAATTTGAATAATTATTCTTGAAAAACGAAGTGCGCAAATGATCTGAAATTTTTCTCAAAGATAAGTGGTCAAAATATACATCAAGTGGTACATTAATCTAGAAAATAAATTTCAGTCTCATCTTGTTAAAAAATCTCAGTGGAGTTCCTTTTACACAGTTTATCTGACAAACTAAATTTCATTATCTCCATATATTTAAGCATTTATTTTTTATATCACATATATTTTTACTTTTATGCAAGTTTTGACAATAAAAGTTTACTTTAAATCATTGTTCTTTGTTGTGCTATGACTTTAACAGCAATGTACATCAATTTCATACTAAAACACAAATTAGATGTTTTTAACAGAAAAGCACATGAAATTGGGGGTTTTTTCTTGCCTTGAGTTAAAAAAAAAAGTCTTTCTTTAAACTATGTTTTAAATAATGTTTTATGGATGGTTTTAAAAATTCCTATGAATTTATTATATAATCAGGGGCCCGATTTAGGTCAAACTGAGTGGTTTTTTGGGTGTTCATAATGCAGTGTTTATCATTAATTAACATTTATTAGAAAAGAATTCCCCTTATGTTTAAATGATTATGAGTTTTCAAAATTGGGTTTGGGGCCTGGCAAATAACATTTTATAACCCCACGAACATGTTTTAGTGCAAAAACGAAAAAATGACGTCCATTTTTTTTCCCAAATAGAAAGCTGTGAGAAGCTTGCACTTTCCCTTTGTTTTTAATTCAAACCCCTTGGGGAATTTCTATAAAATTTTTTCCTTTTCCAAACAGTACTTTCAGTGCTTTGATTATGGTCATCTAACGGAAACTTTGGAGTAGTATTTATACTTCATGCTGTTTTTATTCTTCCTCTTTAATTATCATACATAGCGAGATAATTCATTGTAACACATGATCGTACTATGATAACTTAGAATGAAACGAATTCGTTCTTTATCTTAAAGCAACTAAATATAAGCAATGAACTTTAAGATTGTGAGTATTGTTGACGTTTTCTTGTTACACTCAGCAGAACTGTACAGAGTATACCAACTATTTATCTCATAAAATTGGCGACTTGTCGGAAAAACATTGGACAGAAGCAATTAAGGAAAGGCTTTGCAGATAGATTGACATTATTGCGTCAGAAAATCAATGTCCCGTTTCCAGATTGCAATCAAGATTAAGCCTAGCTGTTGTTTTTGTCTCTTATAATAAAACTATATGTATTTAAGAATGTACAATATATTTGTGAAAACTGAAAAGTAAATATACAAATGTATATAATGTTTAAAATTTAACTTTCAATATATGAAGTCAAGTTTTCAGTTAAGTATATATTTTTTCAGCTCAAGAGAATGATACATATAAAAGAAGAAATCATAGTGAAAGGATAGTTTAAAATCTTTTTTTTTTTGAAAACTTCGGAATCAGCATTTTACAAATTTCATATAAATGATATCAAAATACATAAAATATATACTCAACTATACATATCATTTCGACTTGTGCTTGCATTCTAACGCATTCATACTATCTTAATTACAAGTATTTATGAACTAAATTCAAGATTCATATGTTCGATTTGAGGTACAAGCACGAAACATTATGGTAATTAGATACTGGTTGTGAGTTCACAAAGACCTCAAGGTCAAGGTGGATATCACAAGTTTTTCCATTGTTTATTCTCATATGTTTATCATGCATTGGCATTTGAAAAGCAAACTTTATATGGCTAAGGTAAAACTGAATTAAATAAATTAATAATTAAATCGGATCATTTGATCATGATTTATTATTTGTGGACATACGACCATGTCAAAATAACGATTGAAGTGATATGATCAGTTAACATTAAATGGGTAAAGTTGGATAGAAATAACATTGTACATGTTGTATAGAAAAAAGCTTTATAAATAACTTAAAACTTAGAATATCCTTAAATCAATGATTTTTGCAACCTCTTATGATATATTATCGACGAATACAGCCATATTTCAATATAATGTGATAATGTAGGGAAGAAGAAGAAAAAAGAAAGATAGAAAAAACAACAAACCAGAAATGATTTTCACAATTGGGATTCGCTTGAATGTTTCAAAAGACATATCATCAGTCAGTTAATCATCAAGTAGTCTTACCTTGCTCAATACCGTTGCAGAGAACAACTTTACATTTTTTTACTTATGCCAAAAATTGATAAGGAACAGTTAAAAAATTAAGTTAGAAAAGTCCTTTTTAATAGTCAATTTTCAAGTATAAGACTGAGTTTCTTTAATTTTTACATTTGGAAATGCCTGCTTTATTGCAAACACATCATTAACAATAAAGTAATGTTTAAATATGATCAGTCAGAACTATTGTATCGCTTATGGATTATAAGCGACTTAGATATGTTATATCATGTCACATTATTTGCATGTCACATGCATTTATTTTTTAACAGGT